GTTCCCTATCACCAGCTTCCTTGTCCCCTTCTGCCTTCTGGGAGTTCAGCTAATTCTTGATCACGACACTGTTAATAGGACATACAGATTGATTATATGTGGACAGAAAATAGTCTGAGTGAATTATTTAAACCATAAGAAATAACTTGTCTTCTGAAGACTGGTGGGCTTAGAGAAGGGTGAACAAGAAAAAAATGGAATGAGAGTAAAAAACTGACAACGGTTAAGATTTTCTTTTTGTCAGGCACTCACGCGCTGTGCAAGTGCTTTATATACACACTGTTCTTACTTAGTCACAACCACCTGATGAGGTAGAGCTTCCTGTTCCACAGAAGCAGGAAGAAGCTCAGGCCAACTAACCTGCCCAGGATTACACAGCTGGTAAAGTGTAAAGCTAGATTACGACCTAGGTCTATGTGAGTCCAAACCCGTAATACTTCTTTCTTACCCTGTTAGGAATTCTGCCTCAAATCTCTTTTGAAGTTTTAGTGTATATACAATATCGTAACCACAAAGGAAATCAGAACTTCCTCAACATAGCCTGATCCTTTTGCTTTCTTCACTCTAACTGAAGTATAAACCATCTTTAGACAATACTAACAAACACATGCCCATGAAATAAAGCAAGGAACAAGAAATGCATGTTGAACATTTGTCTTTTTGACCCATTGAATGTTTGTTTGACCTCTTAATACTATTAATCTCTTAAATGAAAGAGATGGTGTTTTGAAATGCTTTATGAATAGTTCTGTTGTTCAGTTATACTCCTCAGCTAGCTGACCCATACATTCAAAAACATTTATTGAGTGTATGCTATGCATGCGTTACTGTGGAAGGTGATTTGGACACTACAAAAATGAATGAGACATGGTCCAAGGGAAAAGAGGTTTTAAGACATACCTACAATTATAACTGGCATATACCATAACCCCATTGTTGTCAATTCCAACCCATAGCGACCCTATAGGACATTGTAGAACTGCGCCATAGGGCTGGTGGATTCAAACTACTGACCTTTTGGTTAGCAGCTGTAGCACTTAACCGCTGTGCCACTAGGGCTCTGGCGTATACCATAAAGGAGCCACAGAAAAAGAACTCTTATTTCAGGGCATTAGAAACAAGGGGATCATTTAGGGAATTATTTTAATAGTTCAGCCAAAAGATTATCAGTGCTGGAACTAAGGCAGAGGCAGTGAGGGCAGAGAAGGGGAAAAGGAGATTTGACCTACTACAGAAGCAGAAACTGGTAACTGATTAGATGTGGAGAGTGAGGAGAGAGGAATACAGTGAAGCTTGTTTTCACTTGGCCAGCCAAGTGTGTGGCAGAGCAATTGGCGCCAATAGAGAGTTCAAGAGGAAGAGCAATTTGACAGGGAGATCAGAAGGTAAATGGAGGGAAGTATCATATCACCACCTCCCCTTCAACCCTCCCAGCAGGCTGTAGTGGTGGCTGTTCCTGTCAGGCCTAGGAGAGGCAACAGCTCCCCACTGCTGCTAGCCCCTAGGAGCTCCAGCATCTCGCTGACTTACCATAATTCAGCCCCGATCTTTATATGTACTCCTTCATCAATTCTCCTCGATAACCCTGAGTGTGCTACTTGGTTCCTGCCAGGACCCTGATGCATCACACTTCTGTATTTTTTTAATAACATGTATATGTATAATTGTACGTTTGTATACGGACAGAAAATATCTGGAAAGAAACTAAACTGTTAGTAATGGTTACCACCTGGTAATGGAGATGGGGCGGGGCAAGGGAAAAGAGGGCTTTCATATGTCTATACCATCTGAATTCCTTAAAACAGGCTTGTAAGAGGAAAAAAAAGGCTTATATTACCTTTAAAATAAAAAAAAAAAAATACTTTGAAAAGTAGGTCAAGAATACCAATCAGCCTAGTGTATGAAGTTCAGTAAATCCACTGAGAGTAAAAATGAAAACTTCTCCAGCTTATTGTTCTAAGAACCAGTCAACAAAACTATAGAGAAAAGCCTCAGACTTTAAAACAATTTAATGATAAATACATATAGACAGAAATGATTAAATTATCGTATGAAGGAAGTGTTCAAGGAAATCTCCATTTTCATGGCTCGCAGCCCTTCCCTCCAGGCTGACGGGGCAACTGGAGACCCACCAAGCCAGCAGACTCCTCCACTGAGCGCTCGCCCTTGCCGTGAAATTCCTGATGCAGGGCCATGTGTTCCCGGACACTGCGTAGCAGGCAGAGATAGGTGGCGGCTTGGAAGTGAAGCTCATGTTGGGCTCTGCACAGCTTCTCACTGGTGACCTAGAGAAGTAGAAAGTCAGATAACTGTCACACCCCAGCCACAGGTCCAGCTCCACGGAGGAAGGTTTAGTAGTCAAGCAATAGCTCAAAGTGAATTGCACGGAAGAAATACAAACGTGTATGGGGATACTTACATAGAGGCACTCTATAGGAAAGCTGACCTCTAGCAAATCAAACAGGGATTTTAAGAGGAGTTTCGCTGAATAGTGTCCCCAAGTTTTAATACAGGTAGAAATCATCTCGTTTCAAATCCCTCATTTTACAAATGAGGAAACTAAAGCCCAGAGAGGCTCAGTGGCTGAATAATGGCAGAGAGATGGGAACTATAATCAGGTCATTGCTCATTAATGTTGCCTAAGAAATAGAACAGGGAACTTTCTCCCCTTCAAAGAAATGAAGGGCTGCGTTATGTCTGTGCGACTTCAGTTAATGAGGCGTAAGCCCTTCATTGCAACGAAAATTAAAAACTTACTTTGTTTGAAAAGTAATAGCTTTTTCCTCAACAGTAACAAAATGAAATATAAAAATAAAATGCATACATTCATTTTACTTAATTCTATTTGCTCTCACATTTACTTATCCATGTGAAAGTCTGTATTCTGGTGACTTTACAAAGCTGGAAAATTCATAGCCATTTTCCCCAGGGACTCCAAACGTTGTTTTTTTCAGCATACTTAATTTCCAGATTAAATAAATTAGTAGGCTGTCCTTTACTTAAAGGAGGCCTGGTAGCGCAGTGGTTAAAGTGCTCCGCTGCAAACCAAAAGGTTGGAGGTTGAAACCCACCAGCTGCTCAGTGGGAGAAAGATGTGGCAGTCAGCTTCCGTAAAGATTTATAGCCTTGGAAACCCTATGGGGCAGTTCTATTCTGTACAGTTACTATGAGTTGGAATCAACTCGAAGACAGTGGGTTTGGTTTTTGGTCCTTTACTTGACTAGTTTTGTGTTCTGAGGTAGTGGGAGGAAAGGTGAGACAGGATGTGTGCATCGCCTCAAGTGACTTAAGGAGCCCTGTCAAGTGGTACCACTGCCAACATAATCTCCTTCCTTTTGACCTTCCTTTCTCTATTTGACCATCTAGGTTGGAATCTGAGAACTAGAGTATCTGGGTTAAGATCTGCATATCATGTGTGAAATCACTCATTAGCTGCTCAAATAGGGAATTCATCTAATTTAATCAAACATACCCTTTTAGTAATTGAAAATGTATGAGATCAATACCAGTATTAAGCACCAATAAAGGTAACATTTATTTCTACTATACAAGCCAAGATCTGTTGGGTTTGCAATGGGAATTCTATGTGAGTATAAGATGGAGAATCCTGCTCTTGATTTGGCTGAGCCGGAGAAGTCAGGAGACACGGGTCAACAATATACACAGTAAGTCACAAAAGATCAAATGAAACTGAAAACTGCATTTTTCCCTAAGGAGAAAGGGGAGGTTCCACCCTCAGGGAATCCCTTCTGCCTAAGGGCAGGATAGAGAAAATGAGCACAGTCACCTCTTAGCCAGAAGGAAACCTTTCCTGTGTCCTCATACGCCTCACACAACGTGGTGTTTCTGGAATTTTTAGCATGAATTTTGGATGTATTTCCAAGGTATTCCAGAGTCATTGCCAAGCCTCTCTCAAGGTCAATAATGTTGCCTCCATAGGATACAACTATAATCATGTCACCTCTTTAAAAATGTTAGAATGGCTCCCATCACATTTACAGTAACGATTCAATTCCTGCTTACCACCTACCACATACTACGCTCCAGACATTCTAATAGTTGTTCTCACCTTTGGGTTTTCAGTTGTGCAGCTTCTATACCTGGATCCTCATCTCCCCCTAACCCCATTTGCTTGCTAACTCCAATTTATCCTTCAGGCCCCAGCTTAATGAATTTCCTCCTGAAGGCCTTCCCTAACTCCCCCTTCTTTATACTCCGACCGCCCCCAGCCCCCCCCCCCCGCCCCTTATCTATTTCCTTAGCCCTAATTTATTCAGTTTCTTGTATGCCTCCTCAGGTGTACTGCAAGCTTCTTAAAAGACATCTGTATCTTACTCACCGCTTTTTTTGGCCAAAGTTTTAGCACAGACCCTGAACATTATGGCCTTTAAAAGAATTAGTTGAATTTTAGTTCTAAGATTTTGCATTCAAACTTCCACGGCTCTCAGAAGTTAAATGGTTAGGATGATGGTTCTCCTTTTCCCTACAACGCTCAAAGTTCCCTTCCCTAAAGTCCAAGCTAACTCTCCAAGCTTCTTTGCAAGCCAGTTCCATAACTCTAAAGACAGCAGTTCGGTGTAAGAATTCTAGTTGGCAGCCAGGTACCCGAAGTTCTCCGTGTTCTTCTACATGTCTTTGTACAGGTTACTGTCCCTTGAGTCTCAATCTTCCATTTAATTCTAAATTCTTCCATTTAATCTAGTCTGAAGGGAAAAAGGGCTGTGGATTTCACAAACGAATTTCTCGAGCATGTCCTCCCATCTTGATAGTATCTGCTACGTAAGTAAAAAGTCCACCTGGTCATATACCAAATTAATGCATATAGTAGAATAATAATGTAGCTGACTTCATTACAGGTTTCTAGTAGTAATACTAGAACGCCTTAACCATTGCGCCACCAGGGCTCCTCACAGCCATTTTCTTAGGTAGTGCAGAGGCCACAACTTAAACACAGCTTCTACTCTCCAGGAAGCTCCCAATTAGTCCTCATCTTACTACAGTTGTCTTTTCTGCTCCCCAGAATAGCTTCACTTGGGAAGGGCGAGGGCAAGCTTGAAGAGATGCTGTGGCTTCAGGTGTAGGGACACTGTACGCCCCACTACGGACACCTTTTCTCTTCATCTCCCTCCATTTCCTCCATTCCACTTTCCCCTCCGCACAGGCAAAAGCCCAGCCAATGAAATTCTCGGGGGCGGCGCCACCCCTAGAGAACCGCCACCGTGTCCCTAGTGCTACCTGGCCCTGCGCCGGGCCTCGGTTATTCCGCGTCGGGCCCCAGGCTCGGTGGGAGGGTCGGCCTCAGAAAAGCAGGCGCTGAGACCCTGCGCCCAGACCCCCACCCACCCCGACTCTCCTCCCGACCCCGAAACATTGGGCTTCTGTACCTGATGTGCACGAAAAGCCTTCATGAGGTACCGATAGGCCGCGGTGTCGCGATAGGGTCGGCCGGTGGCTGCGCTCAGGTGGCGCAGCTCCCGCAGAAGGCCCCGCAACGTGCGCGCCGGTGACCCCAAGGCCGTCATTTTCCCGGCCGTCCCCGAAGCTAGCTATCGGCGGCGCCCACGCCCCTCCCCATGTCCCCTAACCCAGCCGCTTAATGGTCTGGTCGGACCCCGGCTCCCCCTATCGACCGAGGGACAGTGGAACGTCCCCCTTCCCTAGCCTGCGGAGCCGTATTAATCGAGCGCCGAGCGGCGCCCTAGCGAGCTAGACAGAAGCAAACGAAAGCCGAGTGTAAGTGAGCATCAGGCCCTACGGAAGCCCCGAGGAAGGCAGCCCAGGGACGGCGGTCCTCTCGTCCGTACCTCGTAGGGACGCCCTTAGGCCCCCGACTGCAGGCCAGGAGGAAAGGCGGGCCCAGTGGGAGTGGGTGTGCATTTGGTGTGGAACACGTACCGGAAGTATTTTTTAGTAATTTCTAGAGGGGAAGCATAGGGTCGCTGAGTCGGAATCGACTCGACGGCAACGGGTTTTTGGTTTAGAAGGGAAATAAAAATTCAGTGTATGGACCGACTTCCCCGGAACCTTACGACACCTCCGGCTCACAGGGAGGAAACAAAGGCTGCTGATTCTCGCAAATCGCAGCCCAACAGCTAGTAAAACCACACATACATTCGCCTACAAAAAAGTAAATCAGCATATCTCACTATAACTTTTTAAGGAAGGAAAAAAGTATTTTCATGAGAGAGAAAAGAAAAGAAGCACCCCAGATGGGACTCGAACCCACAATCCCTGGCTTAGGAGGCCAATGCCTTATCCATTAGGCCACTGGGGCTTGTGTTAGGAACTTCCTCAAACGACGTATTCAATATCTTTGCTCTACGACGTCACCCAAACCTCCAATTTCTCCTAACCTGTTAAGAAGCCGCACGCCGTACCGACGCGCGGGCCTTAGCATGCTGGGAGTCGTAGTCCAAAGAGCAGAAGCCGCGCTCCTGCTCCAGGAGATTTTCCCTAAAAGCAGCGCCAAAGCAGGACAGAGGGCGGGCGCGCGCACGGCTTGCGTACGCGTTAGCCTGCGCCGTCGCCCCGGCGCCTGCGCAAAAGCGGGTAGCGACGTCGCAGAGCCGAATGCACAATCAGGATCTCGGAGACTCTCCTGTGAGCGGCTAGTTCGTCGGGTTTTTACCGGAAACGGCCGGGCCCCTTCCGGTGTTGCGGCCTTCCGGGCTCAGCTTCGCTGCAGCCGGCCGTTAGGTGGCGTCTGTAGCGGTCGCTTTCTGTTTCCGGTTGAACCGCTGCGGGCATTTCCGCAGAGCCGGTGGCAAGTTAGAAACGTTTTCCTCGTCTTCTGAACTGCGCGATCCGGTGAAGAACAGGGCGCAACGGGGGAGTTGGGAGCTAGTTCATCAGAAATTCATTAGAAATGAATTAATTAGACGTTGGTTCATTTCCTGGTTCTGTACCTAACTGTATAACTTGGACAAGGCACGTCTGTTTTTGAGTTTCAGCGACCTTACACGTAGACTCTCGCAGCGGTTTCCCATTGCCCGTAAGATAAAGTTCAGACTGCTTAAACTGACATTATGAGCCCTGCGTAAATTGGCCCTTACCTATATCTTAACTTTCAAATCCCACTAGTCGTTTTCCCTCATCTACTGCTCCAGGGATCTGAACGTCTGTCACTGCTTATATTCTCCCCACACGTTCTTACGTTACTCGCTGTGCCTGAAGCTTAAGCATTGTATTAAACTGCCCTGTTTACCCCTTAGGCTTGAGCTTAGTCTGGAAGTCTGTGTTAGATCCTTCTCTAGGCACTTGCCGTCAGGATGGCAAGGTCAAAGCAATTCACTTCGCCTCTGGCTCCTTGTGTTCCCGGTTCTTCCCGTCTCATACACCGCTCGTCGCACCAAATTGTGGTTTTCTGTCTCCCCCCTCGTCGCCAGGTGTTTGTGTAAACCCGGGCGTGGGATTGCTGGGTCATACGGTAAGAGTATGTTTAACTTCATAAAGAAATAACGACTTTTTAAAAAATAATTTTACTGTTACGGATTGAATTGTGCCCTCCCAAAAGATGTGTTGAAGTCCTAACCCCTGAACTTGTGAGTGTGACCTTGTTTGGCAATAGCTTTTCTTTTATTATGGGTCAGATTAAACGAGGTCATATCAGAGTAGGGCAGTCCTAATCCTAATCCCTTCCGAGTGGCGTTTGTAAGAGACAGTGACAGACTCAGAAAGAATCAGGCCCAGGAAAACAGCATGTGAGAATCTGTCTACAAACCCAAGCATGCCCAGAAGCACCTGGGGGCTGCCAGAAGCTGAGAGAGACAAGGAAGGAGCTTCCACTAGAGCTGACAAAGAGCTTGACTGCTGAAGCCCTGAATTTGGACTTGTAGCCTCCAGAACTGTGAGAGAGTGCATTTAAAGCCACCCACATTGTGGTATTTTGTTACGGCAACCCAAGAAAACTAAGACACTTACCTAAACATTTGCTATTGTTGTCGTCAGCACCACTGTAATATTAATAACAGTATCAATCATTTATCAGAGACTTTCTCTGTGCCAGACACTTTATATATGTTATCTTATTTAACCTCACAGTCATTCTGTGAAATAGGTAGTAGTATTGCGCCAACTTTATAAATTACAAAATACGGATTTTATAATAATTTTAAAATCTAATTATAAAAATATAAAATAGGAGCACTTTTCAATCTGTACATCATGTTGCACTAAAAACGTCCCAAGTAACATGTACTGTTCGCATAACCTTAGGACTGTTGTTTTAAGTTGCGGTCTCCATTCCATAAACACATTGATGTTGAAAGAAAAATTTTCAAAGCTTGTTTACAACACCAAGCACTTGCATATGTGCAGTCATACCTTAGATTCACACAGAGAATAAATCTGTGAAGATTTGTTTGCTACTTTTTTTTTTTTTGACTAATTTTGTCAGGTGGCCTCCATAAGCACCTCAGACCTTGCATTAATTGAGGTCATCTAAGGGTGGTGTATGTTTGAAGCGAATAGTTATCTTGTTTTTCAAAATAAAGTAATTGAGAGCACACCCTATGAGAGACCTCATAATAGCTCAACTCTAAGGCCACTCTCCTCTGGGGATGTTTTGGGGGAAAACAGCGTGCTCAATTCATCTAATAGTGAACGCAGGGCTCTCTGACTCCAAAGCTGGACTTCCGAGTCACTGCACCTTGGTGATTTGCAGACTGAGACACGGTTATTTGTTCAATGAACTGAACATGATCTGGGAGAATGCTTTTCTGCTTTTATTTTCAAATTATGCTAGTGGCCTAGTTCCTCGGATCAAATTCTCAATTCATAGGTCCTAAATTCTGGTCTGGCGGCAGCCAGCCTGGAGCAGAGTTGGATTCCAAGGAAGGATTTGGCCTCATTGTGAATAGCGGTGTAAGTAAGAACATATTGGGGCAAGATGTTCTAAAACTTCCTGAAGCTCCTACAGCCAGCACCGATGTGGGAGTGCTCTCCTGCTGGTTTCTACTGGTCGGAGCTGTGACCATGGCAGACTTCTGGCTGGAACCATCTCCTCTCCTCTGAGTGGGTTTGCCTCTGTCTCAGAGTGAAGACATCAGGCCAGTGGGTCTCGCCACTGGCTGCACGTTAGAATTACCTGAGGGAACTTAAAAAAACAAGCAGTACCTGGGATCCACCCCTAGAAATTCTATTTGGTTGTTTGGGTTGAGGTCCAGGCAACAGTCTAGTGTACAGGGAGGGCCAAGAACTGCTGTGTCGGGCAGACAAGCAATTGAAGCAGCGGTTGAGGGAGGGCATCACGGTCATACCGATTTCTCCCTTCTCATTCCTGTCTTCTTTTTAGGGTCCAAATTGGCCAGAGATAGCTTGAAGGCAAGGCCTTTAAGAAAAGAAGGAACAGGTCTTATCTTTGAAGAAAATCTTTCATTCTTAGGCACAAAATTCACAACTTGCCACACTGACCTCCAGAACCTTCTCTTGCCTGATTTCATTCCAGTTGCTGCCCTTTGCCCTGAAGTTTATGGTTTGTTCTTGCTGCTGAACACCTCTGCATTACTTTAGAATTTAGGCTCATCTTTTGTTTCTGCTTGTGGTTTTCTGACTTCACATTTAACATATTTCTCTCAGGTCTGTAGTGCTGACCTTGGTTCATGTTTGGGTTGCCTCAACTTTTACCCTTGTTATTTTCTCTGTTTTCTTTCCCAATAAAAGTTAGATTGTCTGTGTCTCAGCTCCATCAGCTTCCATATGAGTCAGGATGTAACCTTTCAGACTCAGTACTTCGCACACCAACAACTCTCCCCTCCTATGTCCTGGTCTGCCAGCTCCAGCTGGGGCCACCCTTTGATAGAGCACTCCATACTCTGGCTGGAATCCGAGTCAACAGAAAACTTGCATGACTTGATGGAAATGAATTAATCTCTCATTTTATCAACCTATAGTTCGCAGGTATCCAACTTTAAAGGCAAACATGCAGGAGGGGTTAGGGATAATGCTATTAGTTATTCTCTTAATATAAATGTTTAAGCAGCTAGCTAAGATGCAGCAGATTTTAGCCAGCCCTGACAAAGTAGAATTTATTGGAAATCGGTCTTCAATAACTGTTGCACTGTTGTGGTAGAAGGTGATAAGTAATTCTGGAATTTATTTTTTACTAAACTGCTAAAAGACGCTTCTCTCCCACCTCTGCCATTCTTACACTAAGGCCAAGTGAATAATCATAAGATGTTAGCTGTATGTAGTCACTAGTCTCCAAAGATGGCCCCCGATAATTCCTTCCTCCCTGTACACATGTTGTTCCTTACATGTAGAGGTGAAGCTCGTTTCCCATCTCACTCTACTCCCTTGAATCTGAGCTGGCTTTATGACTAGCTTTGACCAATAGAATGGAGCAGAAATGACATTCTGGGACTTCCAACCCCAGGCCTTAAGAAGACTGGTAACCTTCACTTCTGCCATGCTGTGGCAAGCCTAAGTCACATGGACGAGTCCTGAGCCAGCCCCAGTGGCGCTCTCAGCTGACGGCCAACACTAATTGCTAACCATATAAGTGAGCCATCTTGAATGTTCCAGTCCAGAGGAGCCCCCATGTGACAGCAGTCCCAGCCAGTATCCTATGGA